TGGGAACCCCTTTAGACGGATCATTAGGCGAGAGATGAGCGAAGAGCAATAGTTCTTAGCTATGAAACTCTTGACTAAGAGTCTAATAAACTCAAATAATACTGGCAGAAGGTAAAAAGTGCCTCAAGCAAAACAAACCGGGAACAAGCTAAACCTGCAGACAAGCAGCCGAAGGGTCAAGCAATCAAGCAACAAGCAGCAGGAGCATGGGGAAGCTGACGGAGCATGCAGGAGGAATAAAATCCCTTAGACGCAGAACTTCCGAAGTATAGGATTTACTGGCAGAAGGTAAAAAGTGCCTCAAGCAAAACAAAGCATGAACAAGCTAAACCTGCATGCACACAGCGCACAGCGAGAAGCTGCACAAACACTGGTAAAAAGTGCCTCAAGCAGAACAATGCAGGAACAAGCTAAACCTGCATGCACACAGCGCACAGCGAGAAGCTGCACAAACACACACAACAAAACAAGACCAAAAAGAACCAGCACTGCTGGCAACTGTCACCAGAGACGTCCGCGGCCGCCAGCTTTGCCATCGAGACGTCCGCCGCCGCCGCAAGAGCAGCCGCCGACAAGGAGCCGGCGCTGCCCAGGGGTCCGCCGGGGGCAGCGTACAGCCTGCCGGTTTTGCTTGTTGCTGTTCCGACGCTGCCTGAGCAGCACTGAGTTTTGAGGTTAAAAAGTGCCTCAAGCAGAAGCCTTGAAAGCAGCAACAAGCAGAGAGCACACAGCAACAAAAGCGTTGTACGGAACACAGCAACAAACGTGGCTCAAACACACGAAACATAAGACCGAAAGTAACCAGGACTGCTGGCAACCACGCCAGTGACCCGAAACTGCCAGCCCACGCGGCCCCGCGGAAGCCACGTAGACAGCTCCGAGCAAGAATGGAGCTGAAGACGGACCGTCGCGGACTCCACTGTCACTCCCGCTTGACTCCGGGAGAAACTTTCTCCGTCCATCACTATCTGAGTTTTACTCGCACAAGGTAAAAAATGCCTCAAGCCGTCGGAGAAGAAAGTCGGAAGCCCGGCTCCGGAGACCTCGACGCCACTGGTGAGGGGTGCTCGCAGCCCGGCGGTGTACTATGCTGTACTACGCCGGGTATATCTGACGGAATACAAGTTTGTTAGACTTGTACTAGTCCAAAGTCACGCAGATATCACATCAACCTTAGTTGTAACAAGACAGTTTTTGCTCAAGACCGAGTTTAATGCACTGCCGCACACAAAACCAGAATTGAGGAGCACATGAAAGATAGACTGTATGCTAGGATGTGAAACCCAAGCATCCAGACATGATGAGAGGACCTTAGCAAGACGGCTAGGAAAGCCCCCTCTTCGTCCCACACGCTACATGCCGCCTCGCCACGTAAGTCGTCTTGGTTTACAGGAGAGTTTTGTTAACTCGGCGCTATCTGACTGGCACGGCTGGCATACGTTCCATCCTCCCCCCGAGTTTCTGAAATAGTACGTTACATCGGACGTCAGAAAGTCACACACACAAGAGAATGTCAGCAGAGTTCCCAGTCGAGATACGATAAGACTGTCTGCGTCAAGTTCACAAGTTATGCTGAGCAGGCAATAACCATTCAAAGATTGTCCATTCTGAAGAAGATTCAAGTTCATGCAGGGCTATTAGGTGTGCAGTAAAGAGATAAGGGAGATGCATAGCGAGCGGATGCAATAAAGAGAGATAGAGTAAAGAGTGTCTGAGAAGAGAGAAGATAAAAGAGAAGACGAGAGAAGTTTGCTCGCCAGCATTTGAAGACCAAAAGATAAATTTTTGAACCGTAAAGAACTTGTGACCAGAGATTGCTGCCGCGAGATTGGAACATCCGTTTCAAGGCATTTGAAGATGTTTTGCAGTTGTACCTTGTTCGCCGATCCAGAAGTAGCTCCAGTTATGCATGCCACAGCCTAGCTCCATGACATGAAACTTCCGCCAGATCTCCTGGGAGTTCCATTTGATCCTACTCAAAGATCAAGAAAATAAGAATCGAATTAGCTCCGACAACTGTGGCTGACACAGTCCAGATATTCGACCGACCAATCTGGCTGGGGAAGGCTTGTTTTTCCTATTCGAAGATCAATCAAACAAATTGAGGCTGGGATGAGAGACCTAAACAACTTGCGGCTAGAGAGAGAGCCTGATTGAAGAGAGGAGTCATCCGAATGTGTAAGGCTTGATAGAATTGCATGAATTTTCAACAGTAACGAAAAACAATACCAAGAAAGAAAAAACTCCAGTAAACAATTCAACTAACCAAACATAAGATCAACATGATTGAGCATGTAATCGAGGCTCATAACCGACGGAATACAAGTTTGTTAGACTTGTACTAGATCAAAGTCACGCAGATATCACATCAACCTTAGTTGTAACAAGACAGTTTTTGCTCAAGACCGAGTTTAATGCACTGCCGCACACAAAACCAGAATTGAGGAGCACATGAAAGATAGACTGTATGCTAGGATGTGAAACCCAAGCATCCAGACATGATGAGAGGACCTTAGCAAGACGGCTAGGAAAGGGCCCCTCTTCGTCCCACCGTGACGCTACATGCCGCCTCGCCACGTAAGTCGTCTTGGTTTACAGGAGAGTTTTTGTTAACTCGGCGCTATCTGACTGGCACGGCTGGCATACGTTCTATCAATATCGCCGGAGTACCAGTCACCCGGACTCGGCCGGGAGCCTCCGTGACCGTACTGTCAGGCCCGGTATGCCGAGTCACTCAGTGACTTTGAGGCCCTGGTATGCACTGCGCCTCAGCTCGGACTTTCCTTGGCCTGCCCGCACCGTGTCACATGGAGTCGGCCGACTCGCCGCGCCGCGCCGGGGGGGCCGGGGCCAGTGCCGGGCCCGGTCAATCCCGGCCGGGCCGCCCCCGGTCCCGGTGGGCCCGGACTCCGCCGGACCGGACGGTTCCGGACCGGACCGTCAGTGGGATAATCCGCCTCAGAGATGGTTCACATGATCGGGCCTAGACCCCCATTTACCCCTCACTCTACCCCTTCATTTTACTCCCATGTACCCCTCATACCCCCACCCCCACCCCCTTGTCTAAGTTTACCAACCCGACGGACCTCCCGAACATTCAAGTGAAGAAGTTCAAACCTGATCCCGAAAACTCCTCATGCTGCTGCTGCTGCTGCTGCTGCTGCTGCTGCTGGTGCTGCTGGTGCTGCTGCTGCTGCTGCTGCTGCTGCTCCTCCTCCTCCTCCTCCTCCTCCCTGCTGCTGCTGCTGGTGCTGGTGCTGCTGGTGCTGCTGCTGCTGCTGCTGCTGCTGCTGCTGCTGCTGGTGCTGGTGCTGGTGCTGGTGCTGGTGCTGCTCCTCCTCCTGC